ATGGCAGCACATACATTTTAAATGTGAAAAACATCCCCTCCTTCTAAGGTCCCTGTATTGAACTTTTCAAGGCACCTCTCTTGGATTTTACACAAATGGAGAAATAAACCAAAGAGCATCAGATAGAGGCCAAATTAATAAAGGAAAATATGAAATAGATTTCATACAATAGACAAAATGATCAAGAAGCTTGAAGATATTACTACTATAGTGATTGATATGGTTTGGCTGTGTTTCCATCCAAATCTCATCTTGAATTATAGTTCCCATAATTTCCTCGTGTTGTGGGAGGGACCCATTGGGAGGTAAATCAATCATGGGGGCAGTTACCCTCATGTTGCTGTTCTCATGATACTGAGTGAGTTCTCTCAAGATCTGATGGTTTTATAAGGGGCTTTTACCCCTTTTGCTCAGCACTTCTCCTTGCTGCCGCCATGTGTGAAGGACATGTCTGCTCCCCCTTCCACCATGATTGTAAGTTTTCTGAGGCCTCCCCAGCCCTGCAGAACTGTGAGTCAATTAAACCTTTCCTTTACAAATTACCAAGTCTCCAGTATGTCTTTATTAGCAGCATGAGAACCGACTAATACAGTGATGAAGGCATATGTTTCTTCTCCTAACAAGAAAAAACAAAGGCAATTAGAAATTCCAAGACAAACTAAAAACCTTAAAGAGTTACAATTACCAAAATATCAAGCAAACAAAAACACGATACGATTCTGAGTAATTTATAGAGTATAAGAAAAGTGATTCCATTTGTTTTTGATGGTAGAAATATTGTTGTTCAAATTGTAAAGATATTTTGACATTAGACTTCTAGAGAAGAAACATGATCCTCATATATTATGTGGTTCTACAGTGAATAATACTTCACAGCCCTGGTCTTAATAACACACAAACTTTATAACAATAATACAGAAATTTATAACCCACAAATATTCTACTACCCATTATTTTGCTTCTCTTCTTAGAGCCTGTAAGGGTTTTGTGGTAACAAATTTCAATGGTCCAGTTCACTTTTTAAAATTTATCTGAGGAACTGTGAACTTTTTTTGGCTTACTAAACTTCATTATGGTAGGCAAAGGTATTCAAAATCGTTCCGTTAAACTAAGCTAAAAAAAAAATCCATTGGACACACTTAATAAGTGTTCATTCTAAATGACCCTTTTCCTCATAAAAAGTCATCAATGAAAAGGCTGGATCAACTCATTTCCCTTCTCACTCCTGCTCCTCGCACACAGTGCTCAGAACCAGAGTGACATACAGCTGTGAGGCAAAGTCAGCAGTGCCACTAAAAATTAAACCAGGCCTCAGGTCACAGTGGGGAAGGAGGCCTGGATTCTGGCCCAGCCACTAACCATTTAACATCTACCAAATCCCAGTCTGAGTGAAATGTCCACATTTTTAATGTGGACAACAAATTTTTTAAAACTTTGGTTTGGTTTGGTTAACCAAAGCAAATCCAACCATGCACAAAGTGTTCCAGGAATCCCAGTGAGCAGGGTTTATCCCAAGAACATCTGTCTTGAGGACTACGAAGCCACTCCAGCATTGGGAAAGGGCCGGACCCAGTGTTGGAATACTAGAGTGTGAGGCCCAGAAAGCTCGGGGCAAACTGTTACATCTTCCTACATCTCAGGTTTCTCATCTGGAAAATGGGAATCGGGACAGCACTCAACTCACATGAACAATTAATTATATGTGAGGTGCTCAGAAAATTGTCCCTGAACAGGAAGCACTCGATACAAGCGAGTTACTATTTGACTGTGGCTTGAGCTGTTGTTGCCTTTCTCTATGGGAATCCACTACAGGACGGAACAAAGGAATGGAGCAATGAGATGTGGAGTGAGGGAAAAGGATGGTGATCTGTACAAGCACCTATGCTACATGGACTATCAAGTTTCGGGTGGAAAAGCTCCTAAGGACAGCAGGCCAGTTGTCAATCGTCCATATCTGACCTTCCAGGTGGCACAGGCCATGCTTTTCCCTGGGGTAGCCGAAAGGACTTCCATGGAGTGAAGCCTGTAAAGCGCCTCACAGCTGCAGCCTGGGCATCGTTCTACCAGCAGCAGGTGAGCTGGCTGCTGGCACCAAGGAAGGCAAGCCTCCCCCAAGCAGAAGCCAGGCTAGGAGCACTGGGAAGCAGTCTACAATTACGGCAGCATCCCACCGTCCCTCACAGCTGCCACCGCCACAACCCAAGGTCTGAGGAGGCTGGGGTTTCCTACGATGCCTGTGTAGCCTCTGATGACTGCCTTACAGGGAGTTCTGTTCCTTGAAATGTCACAGCCACACACATCGAACATTCATGGGCCGCACCAAATGGGGAGAGATGTTCAAGGACTTTACTCTCCTGCAGCAGAGAAAAACTCCTTACCCCACCAAGAGCCTTCTGGCTGCCCATCTGAGCATGTGACCCAGATACTCTAGTCCATGGGGAAGGGCTGGATGCCAGCTCCTAGGTCTTTATGCCAGAGACCCAGAGGATTCACTTGAAAAAGCTTCTATCAAGGACATGTACTAGATCCTGACCATAACAACCCCACAACTGTCTCTGCAGGGCATGTTACTCTGAGCACCTGTTGCCACATGTCCCCTCCTGCCAGTGTAACCACGGAGGCTCCACACAGCACTGAGTGTTTCAGTTACCTGGATGCACCATGAGTCCCCGGAGGGCACGCACCTGCTCCAGGTCATCTCTGTCACCTCCCAGCATGATCCACAGTGCTGAGAGGAAGGCGTACAACACGTCTTCATGGAATTGAAGCAAATTCAAAATGGAAATTCTTTCAAATATCCATTTCGGATACACATATCTTGTGCTGCTTACTATCACTGGCTGCATTTTCTCTAGCTCTTTGGTCTTTGAGGGAAAAGGGCAGTAGATGTATCTTTTAAGGAGAAATGTTTGTGAATGGAGCTGGAGGCCATTATCCTCAGCAAACTAACACAGCAGCAGAAAATCAAATACCACATGTTCTCACCTATAGTGGGATCTAAATGATGAGAACTTATGAACACAAAGAAGGAAACAACAGACACTGGGGTCTACTTGAAGGGGGAGCAGGGAGGAGGGAGAGGAGCAGAAAAGATAACTACTGGGTACTGGGCTTAATACCTGGGTGATTAAATAATCTGTACTACAAACCACCATAACATGTGTTTACCTATGTAACAAAGTTTCTCGTGTACCCCCCAACCTAAAATAAAAGGTTACAAAAAAGACAACTATTTAAATTTCAGTTGTTAAATATGTAAACAACTGCTACAGAAAACCAAAAAACGTTATTTAACCATTTTATACCCACCCAAAATGCTGCAAACATATGTTTTTAAAGACTTTTATGAGTCAAATTACATCCTGAAGAGTTGTCAAAATAACTGTATCCTATTTACAATCTTGGTCTTGAGCCCGACAATTACTCAGCTCATGTATCCTTCTTCTTATGTTGACACTTTTTAAAAATCAACACTGATGCCTGCTGAGAAGCGACATAAACTCATGACAAGAGCAAAAACCTCCCCCCTTCTTACATACAAAAGTAAATAAATGCAGAGAAAACAGAACCTGCAGGTCATTATTGGTATTTGCTGCCCTCTGGTGGTCAAGTCCAGGAAGTTTCCACATCAGGAAACAATCTGTATTTCACAGATGGCCTGAGGATCACCCAGGCTAAAGCCTTCATCCCACAGGACTTCCCTGGCAACCAAGCAGGTCCTGCTTCTCTCCTCCCCGCGAGTGTGTGTGTGTGTGTGTGTGTGTGTCTGTGTCTGTGTGTGTGTGTGTGTGTGTGTGTGTGCGCGCAAAAAAAAAAACAAAAAGGGTAGTATCAGCCTGAGCAGACCAGGATGAGCAATGTGACCCCGCCTCCTCCAAGCACACACAAGGTACCCAAAAAGGCATAAAACTGCAGCGAATGAGCTGCGCTTTCAACTCCCCAACACCATGCTCCATCTGAGCAGATAAGTGAGGCTGGCCACATCACAAAAGTGTCAACAGAATGAGCCTCAGTCAGCTCTGCCTTATTAATACCAGGCAAACACACTCTTGTGAGCACCACACATGTTCAGGACATTAGAGAGCCATAGCCTCCCCTTCCATCACCCTCTGCTATGCCACACTGTCTGCAGAGGCGGAGGTCCCACTGCACTCAACATCAGAGGGCTTCCGTTCCCACCAACCCCATTCAACTCAGTCCCCACACTGAGCCCCAGGAGGAAGACCTTACGGAGATACTCCTTACTCTGCCTTTTGCTGCTGAAGGAAGGGCAGGCTCTGAGGATGGCGAATGTCTCTATCCTTTCTTTGCACACTCCTGCCTGGGGAGTTTCTGTGAAGTGTGGTGTCCATCAGGTAGGCGAATGGTTTTCTCTAGGACATTCCATAACTCCCTGGTATGCTTCGGCTGTGTTCCTACCCAAATCTCATCTTGAATCGTAGTTCCCATAATCCGCACATGTCATGGGAGGGACCTGGTGGGAGCTAACTGAACCAGGGGGGCAGTTTCCTCCATCTTGTTCTTGTGATGGTGGGTGAGTCACATGAAATCTGATGGTTTTATAACGGGGCTTTTCCCCCTTTTGCTCAGCACTTCTCCTTGCTGCTGCCATATGGAGAAGGACGTGTTTGCTTCCCCTTCTGCTGTGACTGTAAGTCTCCTAAGGCCTCCCCAGCCATGCTGAACTTTGAGTCAATTAAACATCTTTTCTTTATAAATTAACCAGTGTCGGGTATGTCTTTATTAGCAGTGTGAGAACGGACTAATGCACTCCGCCTCAACTACTAAATTATACATGAGCTGATCACTCTTGTGCTCGGAGTCTTTGTAGTGGGATGGGTGAGATGAATGGATTATTGGACGGAAAAATGATGATGGATGGATGGATGGATGATGGACGGGTGGACGATGGATGGAGGAATAGATGATTAATGATGCATGGAAGATGAATGATGGATGAATAGATGATGGATGAGTGATGAATAGGTGATGGATGTGTGGATGGATGGGTGGATGGATGAGTGGTGGGTGAATGGGTGAGTGGGTGGAGAGGTGGATGGACACAGACGGACAGGTGGATGAACAGGTGGGTGGATGAACAGGCAATAGATGGAAGGACGGTTAGAAGAGTAAAATGATTTCCATGACATGTAGGGCTCTATTAGGCCTTGCAGAGACTAAATAAGAAAACAATCCCTGCCCACTAAAGGTTGTGTTAGTAATGATACAAAATGAGATCAACCTATGACAAGAACAGATGAACACAAAGTGATTCCAGAAGAAAATAAAAGTAGGTGATCCCCAAGCAAAAAGAAAACAGACAAAAGCCTGATGGTGTTACGGCAATAGCCACAAACATTGAGATGATTGATGTGAGGAGGTTGAGTAACCTTCTGCGCAGGAGGAAGTGTCATGGCACCTGGTTTGTGGCCATTAGGACGGATAGAATGTCACACTCTGACACCTGCTAATCTGCCCCAGCCCCAGCCAGTAGCGGAAGCACACAGGCAGAGTGGTGGAGAGCCGGATGACCAGGAGCCAGACACCCCGGTGAGGACATCGACATCAGGACCTCTCTGGAGCTGTGTCAGAGCTTGGGTGATGGGGCAATCCCAAGCAAGACCCCACAGCAGTGGCCGCATGCAGCCTGCTGTGCTCACCTAACGCAGCACGGCCCACAGAGCCACACCACCACTCCCTGCGCAGTGAGAAGGGGCCACGCTGGCCACTGACCAACCCCTGCTGGCTCTCAAGGGGACTCAGATGCCCTCAACCTCCTCTCCATTGCTCAAATCTTCCATGAACCCTTGCGGTCAGAAGGTCACAAAAGGGTTACTCAAGGATGCAATATCCCATTTCAAACCCCCATCAACAGGAGGGAGAGACTCCCCCGCGCCTTGCTGAGACTCTTCACTTACACCCAACAATGCACACTGTAGGAAAAGATTGTGTCTATCGCCGGTTCTGAGAATCCCCTGAAGCCAGTGTCTTCCCTTTGCTCTCCCCGAAGCTCCTGGGGCTGGGAAAAGCTACCCCTATCTCACATACAGCACCTGTACCACTTGGAGATGGTCGTTCAGGTCCCGAGGACTGGCTGAGTTGTCTGTCGCCCAGCACCCACGTGCCTGAAAAGACAGCCCAGAATGCTGGCTGCACTCAGCATGCAGCCCCGAAGCTCAGCCGCTGCACGTGACTCTGCAGCCCCAGCCCTGGGCACACTCCCAGACCACCAGGGCCACACTGCCAAGTGTAGGTGAGCACAACCCCAGCGCCTGATTGCAGCACAAGGCACGAGTGCGTACACATGAAGCACATACTACGGGGAGCAGTGTCTGGGGCAGAGAGGAAGAAAGAAAGAAGATTCCTGATTCTGGACAGAAGGGCCACGTGGAGTTAGATCAAAGAGGCAGCAATATCCTCCTCCCCACTCAACGTGGACCCGGAAGTGGGGGTCGGAATGTGGGAGCACAAGAACCAACAGGCACTGAGGGCTTCCCTCTGCTAAGAGCTATGCCAGGGGCTTTGGATGTGAATCCTGATTCAGACCTCATTCACTCTTTCCACTCCTATTTGCTGTGTGTCTACTATGTGCCCAGCCCTGTGTGTGAAGCTGAGCACAGAGCAGTGGATGAGGCTGGCAGGGCCCCGGCTGCATGGAGCTTTTAGGCTAGTGAAGGAGACCCAGCCCATCTATTACACATGAGTTGTTACATTCATGAGTTGTAATACATGCTGCAAGTGGGCAGTCCAGTGCCTTGGAAACAGGTGACAGAGGAACCACACGCAGGCTGAGGCCTTTCCAAAGTGGGGACAGTCATACAAGCTCTGAAATGTACATGAAAATTACCCATGCAAAAGGAGGGCAGCTCCAGCAGGACGGCGGCATGGGTGAGCCCCCTCCCGCAGAGGCACAGGGGAGAGACGGAAATGAGGCCAGAGCGACAGAGGCCAATGGAGAGAGGCGGTACAGTGAGGGGTCATGAAGGATCCTGGATATAGGAACAGAACTTGGGCCTTGATCCTGGGGACCCAGAGGGTGACAAGCAGGCTGAGACAGTGCTGATACTTCACAACCACATCCATGTGTTCTGTGCAGGGGTCTCAAGGAGCAGAGCCCACAGCAGCAGTGTCACCCAGGAAGCCAGAAATGCAGATTCTCCACCCCACCCCAGAGCTGCGGAATCACACATCCTGGGGGTGGGAACCAGCTACTGTGCAGCACCAAATTTACAAGAGGAGCTTGTCTTAGCAAAAATATTTACCTCCGTGCAAAATCAAGAGAAGTGGGCCAGACCTCATTTACATTGCTCACTCTTTCAGGTGCCCCAGCTTCCTCCTCCTTCTGAAAAGGCTTCCCAGCATCCCGGCACAGGCTGCAGAGGTCTCCCAAGCCCCCACTCCCTCCCCTCCCAAACACATTCGCTTCCTTTTCCTTGTGTTCTTGGTAATCATTGAATTTGCCCTGGCATTTCTGACACAAATTAGATGATGGTTAAGACGGCAAGGCTTTAAGAGAAAACCTGAAAGTTCTGAGGAATGCCATGGAAATGAAAGAGAACCATGAAAAAATATGACACTTGGGCAAAGTTTAAAATGACCAGGCACGCTCAGCCTTGAGTGAATGTCACTGTGGGGAGCTGCGGTGACAGTTTTCTAATACACAAGGAACGCACATAGGAGAAATGGATCCATTTTTCCACTCATCAGCAAGAGCAGAAGGAGAAGGACCAGCTTAGGTTTCAGCCGGGAAAACATATGTCATGTGTTTGAGCCATAGGAGAGGAGGAGCTGCCAAGAGGGCGGGTGAGATCATCCTCGCCAGAGACGCTGGAGATGAGATCACAGCGGCCCGGGTCGCTGTCCGGCAGGGTGCCTGGACCACACGGGGTCTGAGCCCTGCTCAGCTCTGTGCAGGGTCTTCCCACTGCCTGACAATCCCATCGCCTGGCAAAGTCTGGATGGGCAGGGCAGATACTAATTCCGGGTTACTATGGTTTGCTTCAGACACCTGGGAATTCAAAGGATGCTATGCATTTCTGCAAAACACTGCATATTGCCTTGTTACTTGGAGGCCACGATACCAGGTATTTGTTTCATGGGAATGCTCATGTCTTCCTTTCCTTTAGCCAACTCCTGTCCTCCCAGTAATAGCAGCAGCAGCGGCAGCATCAACCATCCCACAAATAGCAGCCTCGAGCTATGGAGCATTGCACTGGGCCAGCGCTGCACACACACCCTTCAGTCACGCCTCACCACCATCCTAAGACCCATTTCACAGATGAAGAAACTGAGCCCTAGGGAGCGCTATGGCCTGTTCACAGCCCCACTGCTGGTCATGGGCAGGATGAGACTTGAGCCCAGGGCTTTCCTGCCCGTGATCATGATCACGTCTCTGTGTTGCCAGGAATGAAGTCTGCACATCAGAAAACCAATAAGGGAACTGATGCGAATGTGGCCCCCAAGACCCTCCTGGGCCTGGCAGGGGCTGGCCCATGATAATATCCAGTAGAAAGGAGAACATGAACCTTTTAGGAATCACTCACTCTGGCTCCTCTCCCTGAGACACCACCCCCACCCCGCTCTAGATCTGGTGGTATTTAAAACCAAAGCCCTCCTGGAAGGCTCCCACCTCCGCCTGGTCTGGTCTGCACCACCCCACGCCTTGTCCCACGCAACCCCACTGTGGACCTCAATGAGCCTGCAGGGCTGCTGGCGGCGTGGACGTCCTTCACACATCATCACCCCATCAAAACCAACAAGAGCGGGGTTTCCCAGCAGCCTGCCTGGCCACTGTCCACCATGAGTTTTTTTATATGCACCCAGCACTCTCCTCAGAGGGCCCCTGAGTCAGGACGGTCTGCAGGCTACTGCAATTAGAGGGGATATTGTGCAGAGACTGCTATCGCGGCTTCAGCTAACCCTGCATCTGATGTTTAACCAATCTTCCCTTCCACGCAATCCTAGGCTCGTCTGGCTTTTCTATTTTTGCCTCTCTCTGGAGTCCTGAGGATGGCTGAAATGGCTTCGACTGCAGACCTGAGGAACCAGTTTTCCTCAGCACTCTGTTGCTGTCTGTGCTGACGCCTTTGCAAGGCTCTCTGGGGCCCCATTCAATTTCAGACGGTTCAGCCAAGGGTCCTGAGCCCCTCCTGACATGGGACTTCAGACCTGAACACCCACCTGGCCTCACTGAAAGAACCACCACAAAACAAGCACAGGAACTGGGGTGCACGGGCCGGCGGGAGGCCAGGCTGAGTACGCATGCTGATGGCCACAGCTGTGCCCCTCACAGGAAGCACCGTTAAGGGGAAGCCTGGGTCAGGGCAGGCCATGTGTGAAGCGTGGCCGACACCGAAGCAAGTAAAGGGCTTTCCTGCTATTCAGACGACTCCGGGCTGATGTCAGGCCTGGAGTCAAGTGAATGAAATTTATTCCTTCTTGATGGAAAAGTTGGACTCAAGCCCCAGATGTCTATTCCTGGGGAGACTTAATTTTTCTTCCAGCTTCACCAAGCTCAGTGGAGCTTAAAGCAGACTTTTCCTTCATGCAGAGAGACAGAGAAGGCCCAGAGAACAAAGTAGCCTGAGGCCCTGGGGAGGAGAAGGAGGCCCTTCCAGAGCTTTGCTCTCCAGTCTCCTCTGTCCAAACCAATATACGGGAGAGTCAGGGCAGGGAGGCAGAGATGGCTCCCGGAAGTCTGGCCTCATGGCCTCCAGACTGTGATGGGAGAACATTACGCCCTCTACAGACACATGAGGATCAACACTCCCGGATGAATTCAGCCAAGACACATCAACCTTTGCACACATGGGCCAACCCTTAGCTGCTTCTCCAGCAAATGTGTTTGCTCTGAACATCCCGTTCTCCCTGGTCATCTCTCCTGGCTCTATTACCACGATGCCTATGTTCCACCCCCAGGGTGAGCAGCACACATCTGGGATGTAGATGGGCGGGATCCCCTCTTAAGAAGGGTGTAGAAATGTTCCCTGTGGATGGCCACCTGGCACTCCCCAGCATCTAACTGGGAACCCTGGCCATATTATACCAACTGTGGCTCGAGAAGCTCAGCTCCTGAAATTGTTACTCATCCCTGAGCCGCGAGAGAATTCACAGTAAATAAATTAAAATCAGAGTCAACTACCTTCATGGCACCCATAGCTTGGAAAGCCACAGCTAATCTCAAAGGGGTCAGTGCTGCCAGCATGGCACTGAATCTTGCACTCTTGTTCCTCGTAGGGGAATGGTACTGTCCGTCTGGAGCCACGGAACCAAACCTGTGGAAAAGAGAGGGGGGGGTTTCACAAAAAAGCAGGACATAGCACCACTAGAAATGACGTCAGGTGGCTCCCATGTGCACACACAGGGAAGCACTCGGATTTCCCCATCATGGAACTTCCCCCTTGAGACAGAGAGCAGATAAGGGCAGGGGGAGTCCCTCTCCAAGAGATGCTGAGAAAGGCTTGACTCAAGGGAGGTAGTGGTTTCCTGAGACATTAAACCAGCACCGGAGCCTGACGGTGCAGACCACGCACTAACCCACTTTTTAAAAACTGAGATGTAATTCACATACCATAAAATGTATCCCTTCAAAGTGTACAATTTGATGGATTTGAGTATAGCCATGAAATTGTACAACCATCACCATGATCCTATTCCAAATCATCTCACCACCCCAAAAAGAAACCCCATCCCACTAGCAGTCCCTCCCCATACTCCCCTCCCTCCAGCCCCTGGTAACCATTCACCTACTTTCTCTATCTACGGTGCCTGTTCTGGGAAAAAATTCACAGAGATGGAATCATATCATATGTGGTCTTTATGTCTGGCTTCTCTCACTCGCATGTTTTCAGGGTTCATCTGTGTTGTAGCATGTCAGTACTTCATTTCTTTTCATGGTTGTATAGTATTCCATTGTATGGATATACCACATTTTATTTCCTATTTCCTCAGTTGATGGATATTTGGATTATTTTCCCATTTTTGCTATTGTGAATAATTATGCTACCGACATTTGTGTATAATTTCTGGTGTGGATATATGTTCGCAATTCTCTTGTGGACAATGTTTTCACACATACCTAGGAGTAGAATTGCTGGGTCATAAGATGATAACTTTACAGTTTTGAGGAATGGCCAAACTGTTTTCCTAGTTGGTGCCACCATTTTGCAGCCCTACCAGCAATGTATAACAAACAGTCCTAATTTCTCTACTTCCTCCCCAACAGTTGTTATTGTCTGTCCCTTTAATAAGAGACATCAGCTGGGCATGGTGGCTTGTGCCTGTAATCCTAGCACTTTGGGAGGCTGAGGTGGGCAGATCATCTGAGGTCAGGAGTTCAAGACCAGCCTGGCCAACAGGGCAAAACCTCATCTCTACTAAAAACACAAAAATGAGCCAGGCATGGTGGCGCATGCCTGTAATCCCAGGTACTCAGGAAGTTGAGGCAAAAGAATCACTTGAACCTGGGAGGCAGAGGTTGCAGACTGCCAAGATTACACCACTACACTCCAGCCTGGGCGACAGAGCAAGACTCTATCTCAAAAAAGAAAGAAAGAAAAAAAAAGACACCCTAGTAGGTGCACAGTGGTATTCGCGGTGGTTTTGATTCGTATCTTCCTAATGGCAGTGATATTGAGCATCTTTTCATATGCTTAGCAGCCATTTGTAAATCTTTAGCAAAATGTCTATTCAGATTTTTGCTCATTTTAAAATTGGGTTGTCTTTTTATTTTTGAGCTGTAATAGTTCTTTCTATATTCTGGATACATACCTTGTGATACTAAGATATATGATTTACAAGTATTTTCTCCCACTCTGTAGGTTTTCACTTTATTCATAGTGTTCTTCGATGCAAAAAAAAAGTTTTTACAGATTTGATGAAGTCCGGTTTATCTATTTTTTCTTTGGTTAGTTGTGCTTTTGGTGCCATGTCTAATAGATTGCTTAAACCCAGGTCACAAAAATTCACACCTGTGTTTTCTTCTAAGCGTTGTGTAGTTTCAGCTCTTACATTTAGGTCTGTGATCCATTTTGAGTTGATTTTTGTATCTGGTAGGAAGTAAAGGTCCAACTTCATGCTTTTGCACGTGGCTACCTAGTTTGTCCCAGCACCATTTGTCAAAAAGACTATTCTTTCCCCATTGAATTGTCTTGGCTCTGCAGTGGAACATTAATTGACTGTAACTGTAGGGATTTATTTCCAGACTCTTCATTCTATTCCATTGTACATATATCTATCCTTATGCGAATATCACACTGTCTTGATTACTTTATAGTAAGTTTTCAAATCGCAGGTGTGAGTCCTCCTACTTTGTTCTTCTTTATCAAGATTGTTTTAGCTATTCTGAGTTTCTCGCATTTCCATATGAATGCTGGTGGTCCTGAAGGGGCCTGGGAGACTTTAGCACCCACCAGGATAACTGTGAAGATGCTTTTATTGCTTCCATTTTATTTCCTATCAATTCACAGGAGGAAAATGTTAAGCAGAATTTGGTCTATTTTAAGATTTTTTCTTTTTCTTTTTGCTTTATTTCGTGAATTGACATATAATAACTGTATATATTGATGGAATACAGTGTGATGTTTTGATACATGTATATATTGTATAATAATAAAAACAGGGTAATTGGCATATTCATCCTCTGAAGCATTTATCAATTTTTTGGAATGAGGACATTTAAAACTTGTAAATATTTTGAAATATACAACGCATTAGTGTTAACGATATCACTCTGTGCAATATCACACCAGAACTTATTTCTTCAATCCAACTCTAATAGTATCCATTGACCAACTCCCTCCATCCCCTCCTCCTCCCTACCTTTCCCAGCCCCTGGTAACCACTATTCTATCCTCTACTTCCTTATCCCTCCATTTGTTTAACTTTTATTTTAAGTTCAGAGGTACACGTACTGGTTTGTTACATAGGTAAACTTGTGTCATGGGGGTTTGTTGGACCAATCATTTTTAAGTTTTTTTCCCATACAATTTTCTTAAGCTTTTGGCATCCACTACACGTATCTGCTGGCAACAAAAAGGAGCAAAGCATTCAAGGGAAATCCATGGGGAGTCAGGAGGACAGCTGGTTGTGTGCACCCTGATTGCTGGCTTCGTCACAGATTTAACATGACTATGGCTCAAGATTTTTATTGGATGCATGAAACGCTGCTGAGAAAATTAAAAGTACCTGGTGTTTCTCAGCTTCTGTGAAAAGCATCATTAACCCCTAGAGCTCCACCCCCAGAACACACCTGCAAGCTGAAAGATGGTGCCTTGTCCCCTGCCACTCACAAAGGAAGCAATAGCACCCATCTGTTTATAATGGGGGGAGGGGAGGAAAAAACCTAAATGTCCAACAATAAGAAATTGATTATATAACTTATAAACCATTTATTTAACAGTCTATTATAATGATATTAAAGATGATAATGCATATGTGTGCTTAGCATTACATAAAAATATTTGCTATATAATGTTAAATGGAAAGTACAGGTTATTTGAAACACAGAATCTAGAAGTGGATCTCGTTTAGTAAAAATCTGACACCTTTCTCTCTTTAGACATATGGGCATAGAGAAAAGTCTGGAAAGACGTATATTGAAGTGTAATGATCATTACATCTGGACAACAGCATGTTGAATAATTTTACATTTTCTTTTCTATCTGCAGATGTATCTTTTCCAATTAGTTGTCAAGAAACCTGTAGGGGCAGTTAGGGGAAGACTGCCCAGACACACAGCCCACGAGACCCAAGAACCAAGCCAACTTTGGAGAGCAGTGAGGTCATCTGCACCATTGACCTGAGTTAAGGAGAAACTACTCACTTATCCAGCAGGTTCTCCCTGGTATCTGAACCTTGTCAAATATTAAAATCCCATTGTCCACACCATGCAGACCTGGCAAGAATAGAAAGGGGGAATGGATGCAGCATCAGAAGTATTTTCCCTGCTACTTCCCAGGCCTGTTGCCACTAAAATACAAAGCCCCTTATTTTACTTCCAGAATTGTTGGTGCTTTTTCCTTTGGGATGGACATGGGGATGCTGTCTGCTGTTTCCTTGATGAGCTGTACCTGTTTCTTCCACCAGCCTGGCCCCTTCCTCCCTAGCGAGAATGGAGGAGAATGGGCTTTCCTTCTGTGCAGCCTGCATGCCTTTGGGCATGTAGTGGATGCACACCTACCTCCCGAGCAGTGACTGTGATTAAGAAAGGGAGAGTTCTGGCCGGGCGCGGTGGCTCAAGCCTGTAATCCCAGCACTTTGGGAGGCCGAGATGGGCGGATCACAAGGTCAGGAGATCAAGACCATCCGGGCTAACACAGTGCAACCCCTTCTCTACTAAAAAATACAAAAAACTAGCTGGGCGAGGTGGCGGGCGCCTGTAGTCCCAGCTACTCGGGAGGCTGAGGCAGGAGAATGGCCTGAACCTGGGAGGCGGAGCTTGCAGTGAGCTGAGATCCAGCCACTGCACTCCAGCCTGAGCGACAGAGCCAGACTCCGTCTCAAAAAAAAAAAAAAAAGAAAGAAAGGGAGAGTTCTAAGCAACTGCAAGAATGGGAAGCTGAAGACAGAGGCAGGGAAGCAGGCTTGCTCTCCCCAGGAATGCAGTGCTCAAATCCCTCCTCCTTCCCAGTGCTCTCTCCTCTGCACACAGAGCAAACTGTTGACAGCAAATGCCCACAAGACAAGGGAAAACAGCCACAAGGACAGCAAGAAATGGGGGAAGCAGTGGGTAGTGGGGAGGGGTGGTCCTGAAATCTGGCAGACACATTTCCTAAACACACCTGCCAGAGTCTGGGGTCTTCTCTTTGTGAAAACTTAGAGAGATTTAATCCAGGGGAAAACAATCTGTCTTTAGTAAATGTCTTTATTCAGAGCTTCACCCCTTGACAAGGACACACGTGCGTTTAGCAGCTTACAAGGGCACCAGAGCAGACCCTCTGCCATTGCCAGCATTTTCAACGTCTGGCATGACTTCACAGAGCTCAGCCTACCCCTCTGCTCTCAGCAATATTTGACATGCAAGGAACTTTCAAGGAGCCCAGCCCAGCGAGGGTCTCAGTCACCTCTGGGAGATACATCTAAAACCCTCGCAAACCCACCTGCAGCCATGCCTGCAGTCATGGCAGTGGACAGTAGACACTAAGGGGCCAGGATAGACTGTCCCCTCCACCAAAGGATGGGCCACTTCTTCCCTCTTCTCTTACTGCTCTTCCTTCTTTTTTTTCCTTCTCTCCCAGTCTCCCTTCCTTGGCTTGGCATGACCTTGGCCATGAGTGGTCCCTGGAGCACACAGGCATGTCCTGATCTCACCAAATGTTATGGGTTAAATTGTGTCCCCCCACACCCCGCAAAATTCATGTATTGAAGCCCTACTCCTTATACCTGTTTATGTGACCTTATTTGAAGATACAGTCTTTACAGATGTGATCAAATTAAAATGAGGTCATTGGGGTAGGCTCTAATCTAAATGACTTCTCTCCTTTGTAAGATGGGGCAATTTGGAGACAGGCATGCACACAGGGAGAACACCAGGTTAACATGAAGACAACCATTTACAAGCCAGAGAGAGAGTCCTAGAACAAATCCTTCCCTCACTGCATCTGGAGTTGGTTCCTGCTGGTGGATTCATGGTCTTGCTGACTTCAAGAATGAAGCCGTGGACCTTCGTGGTGAGTGTTACAGCTCTTAAAGGTGGCACGGACCCAAAGAGTGAGGAGCAGCAAGATTCACTGTGAACAGCGAAAGAACAAAGCTTCCACAGGGTGGAGCGGTTTGCCACTGCTGACTGGGGTTGCCAGTTTTTATTCCCTTATTTGTCCCCTCCCATGTTCCGTTTCTGTCCTATCAGAGTGCTCTTTTTTCAATCCTCCCCACGATTGGCTACTTTTAGATTGCTGCTGGTTGGTGCATTTTAGAGAGCGCTGATTGGTACATTTTACAGAGCACTGATTGGTACGTTTTAAAGAGCACTGATTGATTGGTGCATTTTACAATCCTCTTGCTACAGAGCACTGATTGCTGTGTTTTTACAGAGCACTGATTGGTGCATTTTACAATCCTCTTGCTAGTTACAGAGCACTGATTGGTGTGTTTTACAATCCTAGCTACAGAGTGCTGATTGGTGCATTTTACAATCCTCTTGTAAGACAGAAAAGTCCTCCAAGTCCCCACTCAACCCAGGAAGTCCAGCTGGCTTCACCTCTCATCACCACTCTTAGAAGGAGCCAACCCTGCTGATACCTTCATCTTGGACTTCCAGCCTCCAGAACTGTGAGACAATACACTTCTGTTGCTTAAGCCCCACAGTTAGTAGTACGGCAGCCCTAGAAAACTAAGGCACTGAGTCAGTCCTCAGGACTCACTAAGGGCCTCATGAGCACAGACAGCAGGCAGGTGGCCAGGGGTGCAAAGAAGAGAGCCACAGCCTGCCCCGTGAGAGCCCCCAAGTCTGAGATGAGAGAAGACAGAATAGCATTGTGGACAAAACTGCCTCGTTACTGGAAAATCTGAGAAGCTGGGAGAAACTGAGACCGATGCACGTTCATAAAAGGCAATCTACAACATTCCTGAACAGTTCTACATAAAAGACTTCATGAGGCTTCAAAATCCGGACATCTTCTCTGGGGAAGTTTTCTCCACCCTCACTGTTTCAGTAATGTAAGGTAGGTTAGATTCTCCTTGAGTGGGGTGGGGAGCAGGTGGGAAGAGTAAGCACAGGAGAAGGGCACCTGGGGACTCACCCTCCTTGTACTTCCTATCAATAGCTGTCATTCCTGGGTAAAAAGCTCCCATTTTCATCCCGGACAGGAACGATGAAACAGTGGGACCCTAAGGAAGGCATCGAGATCATTATTAAGCTCTCCTTCCTATAGCTTTAGTTATTTCCTGGAATGGTATAACATTTCTGTGATTCTCAGACTCACTCAGTTCTACAGCTGTGCACCACACATGAGAGCATATAATGTCAAAATGTAATGATAAATTTCTTCATGCATATTAGGAGATAAAGTTAGTACTGAATTACTTACAAGATAAAAGCAGCTCTGTGAAATGGGTTTTCGCCAGTAAATAGTACTAATGAAGAGAATTATTCTAGTTGTCTGTGTTGGTAACAAACCTTGAGATCTTCCATCTATGATGAGCTGGGCAAAGACGGCTGCGTAATTCCCGTACATGGCATTTCCAATATACATTTTCTCAGCATTTTCACAGGGTGTGTCAATTACAAACTCCTACACAGAAACAGCAGAGCAACAGTGTTTCCCTTCCCATGGCTCATTTCAGTTCCCTGGCTCAAGGCAATGAATACTGTGCAAACAGACCCACACAGTGCAGGGTGCCGTTTCCAGGGGATTTCACAGCAGAAGAGAAGACAACCGGAAGGTCACCTGGCTCCATGTCTTGAAACCAACACGACTGTGCTATCACCTCAATTCACCTATTCCACCTCCACCTCAACTTTGAAAATGGCTGGAGATTAAAGTGATTTTTCAAGGAATAATCCAATCCAGAAAATAAGTTGCCAATTTTCAATCTTTAAAAGGTGTTCGTTCTCTCCCTCCCAGTCTCTCCTCTTTATAATGCCGGGCTGACATGTGTGCTGTTTGGCTGAGCCTGCCTGGCTTTAATGTATAAAGGCTTTCTTCAATTATCTCTCTAGACTACTTCATAGCAAAGTTTTGACCTTTCAATCACCCAACACCAAAACCTCCAAAAGCCCTGGTGGTACGTGCTCAGCTCTCCACACCCCTCACCTCCAAACAGCCCACCTGCAGGATTTCTAAGACAGGATGGAGCACCCAATGATCTGGGCCCTTAGATGGCTTGTTCCAGGGTCCACATCTGTGAGTTGCATTTCATCTGCCGGTGTTCACTCCTTCTGGGCAAATCACTTGGTTCCTCACTGTTTCCCAGGCCCTGAACCTTCCTGCCTCCATGACGTCTTTGTTTAAATGAAAGCCAAGTAATCAAAGGCCAAAACTGTATGCTTGGATAAAGCAACACCAATAGACAGCCATGAGCTATCCCCACCACTGCTTACAGTATCAGCCCAAACAATTTTTATTGTTATAAAAAGAAATCCCTCATTTAAGCTTTTGAAAATGTCTCTTTTCCTGATCAACGAATATAATAATTAAAGTTTCCCAAAAGAGGTTCATATGTTCAAGCTCCTAAAACAGAAGAACTTGTAAATGAGAGTCTTTCCTAGGAGGGAAAAATCTTAGAATGTAAAAAATCTTAGAATGTACCATGCAGTTTGTCTCTGAATATGTCCAAGGATTCCAGCTCAAAACAGTCTGAAACTAACACTGGTCATGAAGAAGCAGGAAGAAAATGCAGGGGTTTTGTTCTCAGGCTCAACTCAAAACTCCATCTTCTCTTTTCTACTCTCTGGAAGCTGATATAAGGGTCACAATGGAAATGCTCCCCTCACTTCTTGGCTCTCCCCAGTCGCTGGTGCCACCTGGGTTACCTTTAAGCCTCTTGCCAAAAAGCAACTGGCCCTGATGCCAGCTCTGAATACAGGGCACCTGGGGCAAGTTGGGAGCCCAGGGGAAATGGCAGAGAGTGGAGCTGCACATTTAATTGGAGTTGACAATATTGAAGATGTGACTGAACTAAACCAACAAGCTATTGATCATGCAAAGATTGTCTCAGATTTCAGACTATAAAGTACATAGACAACGCTTTCCCGCTGGCCAAGAAATATAGTCTTGAAGCCTAAGAAAACATTCTCTGACAGATGTTTGCACAGGGAAACTTTTAACATGTGCGAGAGCTTTTCAGAAACATAAACGGACATGCTGGATCTTTTTACGAGACGTCTCTGGAGGCCACCCTTGTCTTATCAGGGCAGCCAGGGCTTCTCAAGGAGAGGTATTACTTGAGGCTGAGTGCAGTGAAAAATAACAGCAATAAAAATACAACCCATGTGGGTGGGGGCATGCTTACACCCAGGGTAAGAAAGCGAAGTGGCAGAGGAAACACTGGCCTGGCAGAAACCATCTGGTGGGATGGGGAAGGGAGAAGGAGGCCACTCGTCCCCATAAACATTTGCTACGCTCTGGGAAAGGAGGTTTGTCACTTCTGGCAAAATGCTTGATTTGGAAAGTTTGCATCAGCCAAAACCCTGGCGTTAAAGCTGCATCTAAATAACGCACACCATGTGTGTCGGTTTCTGTAATAATTATCTGTTGAAGGCCAGCAAAATGTTTAGTGTTGTAGGCACTAAAAATGATGCCTTTGGCCAGAGAGTTCGTAACCTCATTTATTTTTGCTATTTAGAATAAAGCATAAAAACAAAACTCTCTCTTATCTCTTAACTATCCATACCACTACCCAATCCACCTCCCAAAAATAAATGTAAAACAACCAACCCACAAGAACAAATAACCAAAACATGTAAGAGATTTAAATGGTCCTGGGGGACAGAACACTTATTTAATAAGCTCTAGCATTTTGAAAGGGAAATGAAGGGGAAAACACAGAACCCAAGGAAGGCAGAAATCCATTCCTGCTATGTCAGTTCTCGGTGGTATGAGTTTATGATGGGATTGTTCTCTCTCCCAGCCCCACGGGAGACGGTGTTCACCAGAGGCCCCTCGTCATTATGATTGCAGCTTTGCAGGTCCCCTGTCAGACAGTGGCAGCTGCTGAGGCACGCCAGGTAGCTAAGTCATTTATGCTGTTTGGGGAAAATGGGACCAACACAGGAAATTATTTTTGTAAAAAAGTAATAATTGTAAGAAGAAACAAGTAAATAAAAGCTGTGGGTGTTTTCCCCCATCAATGACAGCAAGGTGACCTCAATACCACGGCTTCGGAAGAGGAAAAACATCGGCCAGCCAAAAGTCAGAGGATGTTAGGTCGGCATGCCACCACTGGCAGAAAAGCCAAGCTGCTGAGGGCAGTCCCAGCCGAACCTAACTCACCATTAACTGCATAGCCAGAGTCAGCTACTTAACCTCCATGAGCCTCCATTTCCCTATCTCTAAAGTAGGGACAATAATGCCTTTTTATAAGATTACAGAACATTTGAAATGATGTTACAAGTAGACTGTTTAGCCTGGTACATGGCACATCCGTGCTCAGTTTACAGGACCAGTTTAATGTTGCATTTCTGGAACTGTTGCTGGGAGGAAACATAGAATAACTACACAGAGGGAGTTTGATACAGAGCATGGCACTTCACGAGTGGTCAGTATAGGGTAATGCTTATTCTCGTTCTTACTAGGATCTTGGACATCACTGGCTGCTGGAGAGAACTAACATCGGGGCAGGAGGAAAAGCAGGGCATCCTCCAATATACCCCACCCCTGCATCTGTCATTCCAGATGCTGGCCACCTCCAACCAGCATTGCTGGGTCAGGAAACCCGCTAACAAAAATCCACACGCTCAAGGACAAACTGCAAAAATAAAGAATAGACGAAGCAGAGCAGCCACACAGCCAGGCGGCACCCGCAGCCACGCTCGGGCACGTGCTTGCACACACCAACTGACACAGCTTCATTTCTAGAAAGAACCTCAACATTTGTTTATCCCTTTGTAGTTCTTAGGAACACCCAATATCAAGCAAGAAACTATAAAGGAGAGTGAGATAAGCACACAGTCACTTTCTTTTTTGGTGGGGAGCAGGGGTGGGTGTGTGTAGGAGTTAAAGAGATAGGAATGAGGGTTACAAAGCAGCGTCCCCAGGGTATGTTGTGACCCACTGTGGACAGAGCTAGCAATGTAGAGAGACTTAGCCAACATCTTGTTAATTAGCAAGAAGGGAATAGAAAGGAAGAAAAATAGAGAAGAAAAAGAAAGGAAAAGGAAGAGAAAGAATGAAAAGGAAAAACCTCAGCATTGACCACACATAGTAAAGGTAGAAGAGTCAGATTGTTTGGTAACACTCTTGTTTCTGTTGTCATGTAAAATGTCAATGCAGGTCACGGTGAGGGACAGCGCGTGATCCCAGTACAGAAGACTCAGCTTCTGATAAAGTGGCCCCAGCACAGTGCCCTCCTGACACAGGGCACAATGGAGAGGATCAACAAAGGCATCTCCTCCAGTCCTTTCCTGCTACTGCTAGCAATGAGAACAAAATGGCTTTAGTGTTGTTCTCTTGGAGTTATGACAAGGGATTAAATTCACAAGTGTACACAAAGTGCTTGCAGCAGTGTTCAGTCTCAAAGGCACCATATAAATGTTGGCTGTGTTGGGTTCATGAAGGCTGAGCAAATATCCACCTCTATTAAAACACTTAGACATTTGATCTGAATCTCAGCTCCTGGGGCCAGAGAGCACACACAGAGGGTGTGAAGCTGGACACAGAAAGAAGGAGATCTGGTTCTGTCCAGGTTTTCTGCTGCCCTGGACGGCAGAAGAAGGACAGATTCCTCACCTGGGCAGAGAGGTCAAAGGTGGCTTCGGTCTGGATCCCTCTCACATTGCTCCCATGGCCCCTCTCGGTCATTGCAAATATCCCAGTGTATTTCTGCTCCTGGAGTTTAACCAGACGTTAGAAGGGAATTAGCTGGTCAGGCAGCTGCTCCAAATGCAGACCCCTTGGGCCATTAAGAAAGGTGGTGAGAGAGGGACAGGTGTGTTGGAGAAAATTATAAAAATTTTCTCTGATGACAGCAAATGTGAGCTTAACAACATGACAGGCTCAACGCAATATAAAAAAGATAGTCTCGGAATTCTCATTTTCAACAAGATTTTTGCTGACACAAATTCTGTTTTATTTTTCTTCAAACACACACACACACACACACACACACACATGCATATCTATCTACTACAGATTTTTAAGGCTCTCCATAGAAGACCGATATTGAGGAAAATACCATACCTGGAGAGGCTGAAACCACTTAGTAACATGTTCAGGGCTTCCGACATTCCTGATAGCACCACCAAATAGCCAATAAACTATTCCACACTGGAAACAAGGACAATACAAACCATCATTAGCAATAGTCAGTAATCTAAAGACAATTAAATCCACGGCCAAACTCCAATCAGGGAGCAGCTCTTCAGTCCCCTGTGCTTTACCTAAGCCCTGCAAGTGGCCTGTTTCTTGCCCTTCCTCTTCACTGCCTGGTGAGCTCCAGTCTCTCTCTGCAGACACGGCTCATGAGTCACTCAGGACTGATACAGAAAGTCAGTCCTCCATCCTCAGGCCTCCCAGATCCCCCCATCAAATGAATGCTCCGAACGCTCATTCTGCTTTGTCCTCTCAGGATCTAGCTCAGGGCCTGATGCAGAAGACATGTAACAAAGTGCGTGTGCAATGACCCTCGATCTGACCCCTGTCTGCGGAGGTGAGTCCTGCCATGAGAAACAGTGTTTCCTTACAGGAAGGTGGATGGAAGAGGCAATGCTGCAAAACGAGCAAGCATGCAGCTTGGGATGAGCGCCCTGGGTTTCCATCCCAGTTCAGCTACCCACCAGCTGCAGGATCTCCAACAAATGACAGAGTAGTCTCAGCTTCCTCATCTGATAGATGAATCATGTGAGTACCCACTTACTGAGCTACTGAGCTTACAAGCTCATTGACTCTCACAACAACCCTGGAGAGAAAGCATCATCATCCCCATTTAACACCGGAAACTGGGATGCATAGAGGAAAGTGTCTCACCCAACGCCATATCCTCAGAAAGTGGGAAGGGCTGAGGCTGAAACCCAAGCTTACAGTAATGCCTTACAGTAATGCCTTACAGTACTTCATATGGTGGCCATGAGGATTCAGTGAGAGTCAACTGCCAAGCCCTTTGCTTGCTCTTTTGTGGGGTTTTGGTTTTTGTTTCTGTTTGTTTTTAAGAGACAGGGTCTCACTCTTTCAGCCAGGCTGGAAGGCAGTGGCATGATAATAGTTCACTGCATTGTCAAACTCTCAGGCTCAAGCAATCCTCCTGCCTTAGCCTCCGGAGTAGCTGGGATTAGGGACTACAGGCACACACTCCCACACCTGCCTAATTTTTTTTTATTTTTAGTAGAGATGAGGTCTTGCTATGTTTCCCAGGCTGGTCTCAAACTACTGATCTCAAACAATCCTCCCACTTTGGCCTCCTGAAGTGCTGGGATTACAGGCATGAGCCACCATGCCCAGGCTGCCTCTTTTGTAAACCCTGGAAAAGTGTCACTGACGGAGGAGGAAGAGAAAGAGAATGAGGATGAGAAGGAGAAGGAGAAGGAGAAGAAACAGGAAGAGGCAGAGTGGCTTGAGCAGGGCCGTTTGGAAGGAGCAGGGTGACTGACTGCAAAGACAGAAGAACTTGAATGTAGGGATATTTGCTGTGTCTGCAGATCAGAGTTCCTTCCCCCTCCTAGTTATACAAACCCAATTTTCATCTGGGGAGCCCTCCTCCCCTAGAATCTGTCCAAGTGGTTTGTGGGTGATGTTGACCCCACCCCCAGCTTTAGGATGAGTTGGGAGCCCCAGACTGGCTGATCTGGCCAGATAATGGCTCTCAGGATGGATTCATGATCTGGGTGGGTCCATCTGGAGTGGAAGCCAGGACACAAGGCCGAGCTATTATGGAAGAGAAGCCCTCTTTTGTGATGCTATGGAATCTGGAGGGATGGAAGCCTGGGGCCGTATAACCGTGATCTGGGGAATGAAGCCAAAGTATGAGGACCAGGTTGGGGGAAGGAGGCAGAGTTGAGAGATGGGAGAGACCAGGTCATGCACACCCAGACCTGAAGCCTGGTACACCCCAAACTCCTGAATTACAGCAGCCAATATGTGCCTTTTTTGCTTAGGCAAGGTTAGCGTGGACTTTTTTCCTGGGGTCACTGCATCTGGATGAGCTCTCTGTTCATACCCCATGCGTATGAACAACCCGGTATTAATTTTGTGAAACGGTACTGGATCAACTCTAGCAGCTCAGACCAGTTAACACGCTCTGGCATCAGGACAGATGAATTTCACTAATCACATCTGGCATGTGAAGTGCTTTTCATTTGGAGAATCATAAAATATCCTGGGAAGATGATTCACACCCCGATGACTCAGCTCACTTCTCTACAGAATCATCGCGGGCACTGCAAATTGCATTACGAATTCCAACATGGGAAATGGAAGCAACCCAAATGGTACATGTTTTTTCCCTAAACCATCTTGGGAGTTAAGTTTTAAAAAAATATTTTTCTAAAACGAAAACAAGTTAGGTTTTCCACCTCTAAATCTCTTTGGCTGGTGCCTAATGCACCCTTGACAATATATTCCTCTTCCAGGTTTTAAATCCTTTCCTCCTCTTTAGGAAGAGGCAAAAAAAAAAAAAAAAAAAAAAAAACCAGAGCATTTTATCCACATTTTGAAAGCCCCATTCACTAAATGTCTTAGCAGGCACCCTGGGCTGTGGAAGTGAACCTGTAAGTTTGCAGGAAACGGCAGCAGTTGGCAGAGGCAGTGTCTGCGTGACCTCAATCCACACAGTCAGGTGAGGTGTGGGGTTCATTTCCCAAAAAGTCACATTCTCTGAATGGCAGCTAATCCAACCAAGCTGGGCCAAATGCAGGCGGAGCTCCTGGGGATTAGAAGTGGAGGGCTCCCTGGCCTGACATGCTTTCAGCAGCTGCCTTCTGGGAGGGGGATGGGCCCCAGCCCACAGGCCAGGAAGGAGGCAGACAGGGAAGGGGGGAAGTAGAGGGATTCAGGGTAGATTCTGGAGACGGAGTGGATGGGATGGATTTGGGAGGAGAAGGAAAGAGAGGACTCCTGGAGACACCTGGGTCTGTGGCCTGAGTTTCCAGGAGGATGGAGACCCATTGACTGCAGTGGAGCATCTTGGAGGAGGGGCTGAGAGGAGCCAGAAGGAGGGTATGGACTCCTTAAAACAGAAATGTTGAGGCTGATGGGAGGTAGGCATCAACCCATCACGTGGGAGTGTCGTAGAGTGTCCTCCGAGAGGACGCTGTGGCACTCCTGTCAGACTCCCCAGCGTCCTGCCCCTGGCAGACCTCAGGGAACAGGACACAGAGAGGACCATTTGCTCTGAGACAGACTGCAAAAAGCAGTGGTAAGAAGGAAAAAGTAGAGTTGGCTGGGGGACACCTAATGAAAACTCGAACTTCAAACATGCACCCACCTTGTTTAAGAAAGCCTCCTCTCTCTTTTCTCACTTATCAGGAGAAGAAAAGGGACAGCTATGACATCGAGCACATGAGGTAATGATCACAACATGCCCAATGAGGGCCAGCAGCAGCCTCCAGAGGCCACAGTGTGAGACAGCTGAGGAGTGGGAGGTGCAGCCAGGACAGGTCACAGGGGCTAAAGGATGGGGCTATGGCAGGGCTTCCTAGCTTCTAAATAAAGACTAAAAGGAGACATCCTGAAGTGGAAGGGAAATCTGGTGTGTTACAGCTGAGAAGGCAGGCTGGTATCACCTCAACCCACCAATGAAGCCAATACCTGGAAGAGTGTGGAGTTGGGCCCCCAGTCATGTCCCAGGAGGTTACAGTCCCCACCACTTATGGAGGCTCCTGCTACCTACCAGGCTTGGCATGGAGATCCTTGCAGGCATTACTGATTTAAATCTACACACAGCCTGTGAATGGGCATTAGCAATGCCATCTTTACAGAAGAGAAAGCTAAGGTACATATGCACAAAGGAATATGCCAAAAGTGTGGCTGGAAAGTCCTAGAAGCAGAATGTGCAACTGTGTTGTTCTGAGTGTGCCCCTGCCCCAATGGACCAGTGAGGTCTGTCCCGTGGGCAGGAAGCCTGCTGGCTTCCCGGTTGCAATAGGCCAGGCTGTTCCTAGACAACAGCCCAACAAGGGTCTCCTAAAGAGACTTCAAGTGTATTCAGGATCTCCTAATTCCAAGAGCAAATTTCCACAAGTGGAAAACTGGAAGTGTTTTTTGAGATAATGGGGACTCCAGAAATGGATTGAATTTTGTCCTTGCAAAATTAATATGTTGAAGCCCTACCCTCTGTGTGACGGTATTTGGAGATGGAAACTTTGGGCAATGAATGATCAAGGTTAGATGAGCTCATGAGGGTAGGACTCCCATAATGGGATTGGTGCCCTTACAGAAGAGGAAAAAAGAGTAGCACCTCTCTCCACCAATGAGGACACAATGAGAAGGTGGCTGTCTGCAAGCCAGGAAAGGAGCCCTCACCAGAACCTGACCATGCCGGCACCATGATCTTAGACTTTACAGCCTCCAGAAAGCTGGGAAAATAAATTTCTGCTGTTTAACTCATCCAGCCCATGGTATTTTGTTATAGCAGTCCAAGCAGGCTAAGACAGATAATAGGATGGTTCAAATAAGGGAAAACAGAACAGCCATGGAGAAGCAGAAAAGGAAGCATGTCTCATTTCTTTCAGCTTTAGTTAGAATCCTTCCAGATTGCACCCATGTTTTTGGCAGGAAACTTGGGCTGGCTCACAAGCTAGAGTGGGGATTCAAAGCACCAATAAAGACAATCTTTTTCCCTGGCATTTTGTTAGTGTGCCCACCCCTTTCACTGTGAGCCACTCTCAGAGCCAGCCCACAGTCCTGCCAGTACTTGGCTGTGTGAGTACAAATGAGTTTGTCCAAGGTGCTCAGTGAAATGCAAAGCCACTGGATAAACAGACCTGGAGAGAGAGAGAAAAGGGACTTGAACATGCAGGGTACAGCTGATGTTGATGAACTGATGCTGACGCCCCTTCCTCAGGTTGACAGTCAGCGCCTGTGAAACGCAGGGACCACCAGTGGCTCTTGAGCTGGCAGGGGGATCTGGGGAACCCCCGACTGATCCAGAGCTCACAGGAACTGTTCCCAGCACACCACATGCCCTCCTGGCATCTCCTCTACCACCAATAGAAAAGACAGCCATGGTCTTCCTGGTCAGGACTTGGGGGCTGCGCAATCTATAGGTTCCTCTAATTGTCTCAGATTTCCAGGCTCCAGGAAAAAAAAAAAAAAAAACTCCCACAATTACTGATGTGTGGGACATTATACTTAATAATAATTTTTAACTGTCATTTTTATTTGTGGTAAAATATATATGGCATAAAGTTTGCCATTTTAGCCACTTTCAAGCATATAATTCAGTGGCATGAAGTACAGTCACAACGTTGTACAACCATCACCACTATTTCCAAAACTTTTTCATCATCCCAGACAAAACTCTGTACATTAAGCAATAACTCCCATTCTCCCCTCCCTCCAACTTCTCGTTACCTCTAACCTACCTTCTGTCTTTACGGATTTGTCTGTTCTAGACATTTTATATAAGCAGACTCACATAATATTTGTCCTTTCATGTCTGGCTTATTTCACTTAATAATTTCAAGGTTCAGCCACATTGTGGCACGTGTTGGAACTTCATTTTTTTTATGGCTGAACAATATTCCATTGTGTGTATATACCACATTTTGTCTACCCACTCCACTGTTGATGGAAATGGGCTTGTTTCCAGCTTTTAGCTACTGTGAATCACATGCAATGAACATTGGCATGCAAGTACCTGTTTCAGTCCCTACTTTCGATTATTTGGGGTATATATCCAGTTAGTGGAATGCTGGGCTATATGGTAATTTTTATGTCCTACTTTTTGAGAAACAACCATATCATTTTGACTTTATGTATTTATTTAATACTGAAGTATTGACACCTATTATGTACCAAGAATGAAAGGGTTATAGTTTTCAAGGAGTTTTCCCTCTCTTGGTAGTGAGAGACATAAAGTAATTCCATGAGTAAATACACAGATTCAAAATGGGGGCACGTTATGGCAGAAAACTATAAGAAGCAAAGACAGGTGACAGTGAGTGGATGGGACTCAAGTTCAAGGCTTGAGAGGGGCATCCCTCCGGGAAGGACACATTAGCTGGGACATGAAGAATGAATAGGTATCAGCCAGGAGAAGGAGGGGAAAGACCAAGCTAGGGCTGGGAGCAAGTGGTCCAAAGGTGGGTAAAAGGAATGAGAAAAAGGGGAGAGTGGAACAGATGTGACCAGGGCCACACCTGCAAAGACCCATGGGCAACATCAAGGATTAGAGGATGTTTCTAAAGCATAATGGGAGGGAAGAGGTTTTAAGCAGGAGAGTGGAGTGATCAGAGAAGTATTTCTTATATTTTTGAGACGGAGTCTGGCTCTGTCACCCAGGCTGGAGTGCAGTGGTGCAATCTCAGCTTACTGCAAGCTCTGCCTCCCGGGTCCACGTCAGTCTCCTGCCTCAGCCTCCCAAGTAGCTAGGAATACAGGCACCCACCACCACGCCTGGCTAATTTTTTGTATTTTTAGTGGAGTGGAGGTTTCACCATGTTAGCCAGGATGGTCTCAATCTCCTGACCTCATGATCCACCCGCCTCAGTCTCCCAAAGTGCTGGGATTACAGGTGTGAGCCACCGCACCCAGCCTCAGAGACGTATTTCAAAGGACTTTTTAAGTCCTTGCCAGTTTCCTTCTAGGATACTCAGGAGTTTTCAAAAATTTTATTATGGAAATATTCAAACAAAACAGAAGCATCTAATGAACTCAAGGATGGCCAGTTCATGGTCCATTTTCCTTCATCTCCCTCCCTCCGCCACCCCTACGTACTTTCCCTTCCTATACCCCAGGTTATCTTGACGTTTATCCCTGACATCATATATCTTGTCTTCCCTGTATTTCCAATACATATGTAAAAGATTCAGATTCTTTTTTAAAACATAGCCCTAAAACCATTATCCCACCTAAAAATATAATGATCATTCTCTAATATCGTCAAATGTCCAATGCTCAGGTTTCCCCAACTGACACATAATTTTTCATTACAAATAGTTTGTTGTTTGAACCAGGATGTCAATAAGACACACGCATATTGCACTTGGTTAAAATGCTTCTTAAGTCTGCTTTATGCCACAGGCTGCCCCTTCCCTCATTCATTCAGACGATCCCCGTGAAACTCCATGGACTAAGCTCAGTGCAAGACCCTGGAGACCAGAGGAGAGGGCTCCCCACCCAGAGAGCTGCCACCACCTGTGGAGCTGTCCCCATGGTCACAATCCATGGAGGCTTGCTGAAGACAAAGTAGATGGCAGAGTAGGGTGGGGGTGCAATATGGTAAAAGCACAAACTGGGGATCATGAGAGTCTGGACCAGGATCCTCTAGTATTTCTGAGAGGGGATTTATCTATTTATCTGTTGCATCTCAGCTAACTGCTCTCTCTGAAAGCCACAGTCAACCCATCCAAGAGGGAGGAGATTGTGCCTGGCTGAAATCATAGTGAGCCCAGTCTTCCTGGAAAAACCTGATGGAAAAACCCTCACGACAAGATGGCACTCACAGATTTCTTTGTCTTTAATTCCTACCTACCAACAGACAATGTTCACACCAAACTGAAATCACCACCATATTGGACTCACTGCCAACTGACCTGGCTTCTTGTCTGATCATCCTGTCTTCATGTTCTAGTTGTAATTTCTCCTCTTTGGGGACATCAGGACTGGGTGTTTGGATATGAGGAATTATTTTGAGACCCAGTGGTGTTCAGGAAGGAAAAGGAGGGCCCCATGAAGGACTCTCTGCTGGAAGGCTTGGGCAGCATGAGGGGCTGCAGCAAACACGCCCACCTGAGCTATTCTGTTCGTCTTCCTTGGTAAGCTGGAACATGCAAGATAATTGTCTTCCCTCAAGACAATAAGATGCCATTTTATAACCATTTGCAAAAAAAAACGGAGAAGTCTAAGAATTCCAAGTATGGGAGAGGACATGGATCCACAGGATGCGATTACATGCTGTTGGTGGGAACGTGAATTGATGCACTAACTTTGGAGAATAGATTAACACTACTCTTTAAAGTTAAGCATTCATTCATCCTGTAACTAGCAATTCCATTCCTAGTTGAATACCTAAGTGAAGATTCTACCCATGTTCAACACCCAGACGTGGACAAGAGTATTCACAGCAGCACTTTTTACATTAGTAAAATCCCGGAAACAACATGAGAAAGTGGCTGAATAAATGCTGCGGTATATTCACACAAAGGAATATTATACAGTGGTCAAAAATGAACAATCTTCCATTGCTATGTCATTCCCCAAATGGCAAAACTATAGAGATGGAGAACAGATTAGCGGTTGCCAAAGGACAGGGGTGGAGTGGAGGCCAAATGAACTATAAAGGGGTAGCACCTGGAAGTTTCTTTCTGATGATGGAATAGTTCTCCATCTTGATTGTGGTGGTGGTTACATGAATCTACATACAGCATCAAACTGACTACACACACACACACACACACACACACACAATTGAGTGCATGTAAAAACCACTGAAATCTGAACAGGGTCTATGTCCTATTTAACAGTGCTGTACTAATATTGATTTCCTGATTTTACATTGCATTACTGCTATATAAGATGTCACCATGACTAAAGGGTTCTCATGACCCTATGCACTATTTTTGTAACTTTCTGTGAACATTATTATTTTGAAATAAAAGGGTTTTTATTTTAAAATCTAATGAATACAGGAACACACAATATGAATCAATCTTAGCAATAATGTTTAAATGAAGAAAGAAAATCACAAAGGATTATGATATTGTTTTCATAAAATTAAGACAAAGGAAAATAACCAATTGATGCATATGTAACAAAACTATATAGAGAAGAAAAGCAAATTAGAAACAAAAACAGGATAGGATATGATGGTTAAAGGGGAAGTCAGGGATGGGTTTTGAGGTATGCCATTTTACCAACACCTGTGCCTCTACATAGACTAAGAGATCCCACAGGGTTATAGTTTTCATTCCTTGGCATGCAAAGCGAGCATGAGTTCATGAAGGGCAGGTGCCCGGCGCCTCTTACCTTCACTCCTGTGGCCATGTCCGCCATGGAGAGGACTTCTCCTAGGACAAGGCTTCGGCTGACAAAATTCTTTGTTTTTCTCTGCCTGAAAAGATGACAGACTCAGTATCAAGGTTTCCTTATGGTTTTCTGACTTGTTAAATTCACAGTTTTTATACCAAATGCATGTTACTTTTATAATAAAAAATAAACACAATAAAAGCAATTTTTAAATTAAGAAACAATTCCATCATTCTATTAAAATAAACATTTTCATCTTTTTTTTTTTTTAATGTGGCTTTCCAGTCTCTTAGTGTTAAAGACTCTTCTTCTACAATAGTCAACTGCATCCACATGGAGGCCAGCCTGCGACCCTGCAACCGACTCGCCTCGTGCCTTGCTTTGCCTTCTCCAGGTTTGTCCCTCTCAGCTCCTGGTGTTCCCTTTACAGGCCGGCACCCCCATGGTTCTGCCCAGCTCCTCCAATGTGTGCCACAGCCTGCAGTCTCTCTGCATTGATGCCCCAACCAACAGAGAATGTCTGGGTGGAGCTCTGTTGGCAATCTTTTGTTGTTTTGTTTGTTTTGTAGAGACAGGGTCTCGCTATGTTGCCCAAGCTGTACGTGAACTTCTGTGCTTAAACGATCATAGTGACTCAGCCCTCCAAGAAACTGGGACTACAGGCATGTGCCACGGCACCCAGCTTCAGTGACAATCTTGATGTGAGAGTGGAGGATTGGGAAGTCTGGGAGCATTCTGGACACAGGAAAAGCAGTGTGTTTACTTTGTAACTATAGACAATCTCAGGGCTTTGATGATTTAAAACTCATGGGGTCCCAATCCCCTCTCCTCACTCACTGTACGCAACAGCAACAAATCCCAAGGCTATACGAATACACTCTTCTCCACCAGTGATAAATGAGGCACCTCAGAAACACTGTACAGGTTTCATTTTAAAAATTCAGAAGCAGCCAGCATTTCCTTAGAAGGTGGTGGGCCCTTGAGTGGGCAAAGTGCAGCTGTCCATTGTTGAAATCAGTGCTAGTTGTCCTTGCTTGCCAGTCTCTTCTGCGATTCAACCAAAAAAAGGTGCTTGTTACCCATGTGTGTATGTGTATGTACATGTGTGTGTCTGTGTGCACAGGTCCATGTATGCATGTGTCTATGTGTGTGTGTGCATCTGTATGCACGTGTGTGTGTGCGAGTATGTGTGTGTACACACTGCTCTACCAGCAGCAGGATAACTAACCTTCCTTGAATGACTCTCGGTTTCCACATTGGCTAAAGCTCTCACCCCAAACACACTCTAGATTTTTCCCTCTCATAGGTTTTTGCAATGTTTCTCTCAAGCATTATTTGATCAAACAGCAGGCTGTGTATGTGTGTGCGAGTGTGAGTGTGTGTGTATACACTGCTCTACCAGCAGCAGGATGATAACTAACCTTCCTTGTATGACTCTCAGTTTCCACATTGGCTAAAGTTCTCACCCCAAACACACTCTAGATTTTCCCCTCGCATAGATTTTTACGTTTCTCTCAATCATTATTAATTTGCTCCAACAGCAGGCTGTCAAGATTTATTACTCTTATCATGGCTCCAACCCAATGCATCTTGTATTGATTATTTCCTAAAATATCTCCAGGCTTGAGTATATAAACCACTGCGTGACTCCAGCTTCAGTTCACACTGCTGAAGTTATTACCAACAAATAATAAAAGACAACTAAAGCAGATATTTGCAGACGTTTTTAGAGGGCCCAAGTGTCCTTTGTTGCAAAGATCCTCACAATATTCCTACACAGGAGGCTAACAGGACAGGAAAGACTGACCCCATGTAACAGATAGGAAATCCCAGGCTCAGGGAGGTCAAATGACTTGTCCCACGAGAGTCACCTGGTAAGTGGAGAGCAGTATCCTGTATCAGAATCCGAAGCTTCAGGTTTCTCATCTGGACATCTTGCCACCAGCCCTCCCTGCTCCTCATTATTAAGCCAGAGGAAGTCTTGGGACTCTGAGTGACCCAGCCTTCCTCATCAGTCCACCCCTATTTTTCACCACCAGCCTTGTTCCCAGAAAGCACCTGACATCAACCTGTCTTTGGGCCCCCAGTTCATCTTCCTGAGAGTCACCCTCTCTGGAATCATCACAACAAACCCTTCCTCGTCACCAGCTCTGTTTTAGCCAAACTGAAATCATCAGGAGTAAGCACAGCCCCCTGAATTTCCAACTATTCATAGCTTTCTTCATATTTCATTCTCTTCACATACACTGTCAATGCAGGAGTATGACTTTGCCCTTAATAGTGTCCAACTGCTGTCACTTTTACTCACCACTTTGAAATAAATTGCAAAGACATTCACTGAAGAATCAACTCAAAATTTAGCCATCCTAGAGCATTATAAATTGTCTTGACAATTACTTCCCTTCTCTTGTCTCTGCAGGAGATAGTGATCTTTGCTATTAGATCTGATGGGAAATGACAATAGGAGTTTGCCATTAATTCTCTGACGTTGATTTAAGCATATATTTGTACTCATCCATCTCCAGATGCCAAACCAAAGTTCCAGAACTGAGAACAGGCTTAATAAGAATGACTGCCTTACTGGTATACATTTTAACATCCTCTTCACACGTAAATTCCCTATTTTCTTCAGCTCTTATTTTATTCCTGATTAATTGTTCTTAATTAAAGAATGTCTAATATTGACAAGTTTCACCTCTCATTGAAATGGCAGCACTAACTGAATGGTCTATGATGATAATGATCAATCAGTAGTTACACTAACTGAATGGTCTACGATGATAATGATCAATCAACAATTATGTGCTTTTCTACATTCATCTTTGCAGCAATTCTACTGTATCAATAGCTGCCTTCATTTATACTTAATATATTCAAACCAAATTCAATCTCCATAGTAGCATGTAAGTTTTTAGCGATTTTAAAGACTAATTCCATAAATGTATGAATACTATACCCAAGCTTATAGTTTATCCTAAATTACAGCCCATGCTATTCACATGTATACTTAATAAATTCAGCCTCAGAGGAAGATAGCTTTTCTTAAAATACTCCCCTTTCTTTGTAGAGCACTTGATGTAACAGATCATTGTGATGTAATAATCTGCTATAGACTCTGAAAAAATGTATGTTTTTATATTTTTACATTTGAGCTGTCTTTCCTCTGATGTTAGCCCACACAGCCTCCTTTGCCAACTCGAAGCAAGACTCTCACCTCCTGGGCTAACCAGCCCTGGCCTTCCCTCCAAAAGACCCCATGTCTGGCCACTTCTTTTTTTTATTTTTTTTATTTTTATTTTTGTATTTATTTTTTTGAGATGGAGTCTCATTCTGTCACCCAGGATGCAGTGCAGTGGCGCAATCTTGGCTCACTGCAACCTCAGCCTCCCAGGGTCAAGTGATTCTCCTACCTCAGCTTCCCAAGTAGCTGGGATTACAGGCGCCCGCCACCATGCCTGGCTAATTTGTTTGTATTTTTAGTAGACATGGTGTTTCACCATGCTGGCCAGTCTGGTGTCGAATCCCTGACCTCATGATCTGCCCGCCTCCACCTCCCAAAGTGCTGGGATTACAGGCATGAACCACTGCACCTGGCCAAGTCTGGCCACTTTTTACATCTCTTCAACACACTCTTGTGCCCTGGACTATAGTAACAGCCTCTTGACTGGCCTCCTGTGTCCACCCTGCCCCAAACATCAGCCACTATGAGCTTTTTATTATCAGTTATTATTAAGGTAAAATTTACAGCCAGTGAAATGCACAGAGCTTAAGCACATGAGTTATGTTCAATTATCTACCTGTGTAACCATCACATCAATCAAGAGCACAGGGCTTCCCTTCCCTCAGCAGGCATCCCCACGCCCCTCTGCAGTTAGTACCCACCTTCACAGGCAACCACTGTTCTCTTTTCTTTCTTTGTTTCTTAGAGACGGAGTCTTACTTCATAGCTCAGGCTGGAGTGCAGTGGTGTGATCGTAGCTCACTGTAGCCTCAAACTCCTGGGCTCAAGGGATCCTCCTGCCTCCGTCTCTTGAGTAGCTGGGATGACAGGTCTACCATCACAGCTAATTTTTTTTTTCTGGAGACAAAGGTCTCACTATGTTGCCCAGGATGGTCTTAAACTCCTAGTCTCAAGCAATCCTCCTGCCTCAGCCTCTCAAAGTGCTGGGATTACAGGCATGAGCCACTATCGCCCCCAGCCTCACACTTCTTTTTGTATTACCACCCACTAGTTTGGCTTGTTCTTGAAGTCACACAAGCAGGAAACAGTATATGCTCTTCAGGGTCTGCCTTCTTCCATGCAAAAGAGGTATCTATGTTAAACTAAGGATATCCATAGTTCATTATCTGAATGGTTTCCATCTATGAATAGTTCATAATTTGTCTAAACGAAACTCTTTAGTGAACATTTGGGTGGCTTCCAGTTTCAGGCTCTTATGAACAAAGTTGACATAAACATTTGTGTACAAATCTTTCGGGACATGTGTCTGTTTCTCTTTTGTAAATCCTTACGAATGCAGCTGTGGGGTTAAAGTGTAGGTTTAGTTTTGTAAGGAACAACCAAACAGTTTTTGAAAATGGTTGTACCATTTTACGCTCCTCCCAACAATGAACGAGAGTTCCAGTTTCTCCACATCCTACCAGCATTGTCAGTCTTGTTCAAATTTAGCTATTCTGGAGGGAGTATAATGTTATCTCACTATAGCTTAAAGATGTATTTCTCAGATGACTAGAGATACGAGCACATTTTCATATGCTTAACAGCCATTTGTAAGTGTTCACGTCTTTTGCCACATTTTAAAAATTGGACTGTTTGTCTTTTTATCATCAAGTTCTAGGGATTTTTATATAGTATGGGCACAAATCCTTTATATCTGGACACAAGTTTTTGTCAGATAAATGCATTACAGGTTTTTTCCTACTTTGTACATTGCCTTTTTATTCTCTTAATGGTGTCTTTTGATGAACAGCAGTTTTTAATTTTAATGTAGACAGTTCATTAACATATTTTCTTTTACATATTCAAGTGATTTTTGAGTCTCTCTAAGAACCCCTGCCTATCCTAATAGGACATTCTCC